TTTTGGGGGGGGGGTCCTTGAGTAATGACCATAAAGATATGTAGATATTGTTGTTATTCCAACCAATCACACTTTTCCAAAAACTTCATAGAGGAGTCAAGGTGCTCCTTTCTACCAAAACTCAGATTTTTTACCAAATTTTACCCTCTCCCACTCCCAATCCTCCCTACTTTCTTGTGGACCATAAAGTTTTACATAAATTTAAACTTGTCAAAAAGTTTTTTTTGAAAAGATTGAGTTTAAATTGTTGAATGTGTGGAACCCGCGGAACATATTTTTCTCTCACAAAACCAAGAAATACAAGAGAATTAATTTTCTTTTTTAAGTAAGGAAAAAGAATTGAGATTTTGCACAAACTCTGATTTTCTTCTTCCTGTATCTTAGCAACCCAATATCGGAGACCTTAGATATTTTGTTTTGACTAAGACTTAATTCCTTTCTTAAGATTCTTGAATATAAAAATCTAATATTTATTAAAGTTTTATCCCCAGGGAATCTTTTGTTCTAAGTCTACAAATGTTTAAAGCAAATGTGCAGTGTAGAATGTGTTCACAAATAGTGTGCGCGCGCATTTTTACACTTCGAGTGTTTTTCACGAATTTTAAATTACAAACCTTGCGTAAAATTCACGAAAGAGAAGATACTTAAAACTAAATTAGGACAATACTAGATTATTCTCTGCTTATTTATCTATTAACGGATGCAAATATGATTATTTGTGGCATAAATATTTTATATAAAACAAAATGAACATAAAATTATTTATAAAACTGTCGAATAACGAATTTTGATCTTGATAAAACCAAATAAGCAAAGGATTGAGAAGTTTAAAAATAGAATTAATCGAAATATTATTTTTAACCTTAAATGGAAGTTTAATAGAGTTTTAAAGAGAGGGAAAATTGTAGAATTATGCTGAATTGTTCTATAGTACATATAGGGAAGCAGGTGGAAGGGAGGGGGGGGCACAGTGGTTTCAGAGGGTGGGAGGGTCGTGACTAAAATGTACTCATTACTAATACGCTAAAACAGACGAGTTTTTAGAGTAAGGTTAAAAAATAGTAAATTTTAGTTTTATGCAGACTTGAACCGCTGTGGGAGTCGGGAGAGGGGGGGGGGTTGATAAAAACTGTATTAGGACCGGCAAGTAGTCATCGCTTACTAAACTCCATATCACGTTTTTTCAATTAAATCTTTCTAATTAAATCCCATCATTTTTACTTCTTGTACATTTTATTTCCTATTCTTTACTCTTGTATTTTGATTTGTGCATATAAAACTAGTTGACCGCGGAAATGCTGTGTCTAAAGAATGTCATTTATGTTGTAACATTTCTCTTAGCCTTGACTTTTTAGCATTAAAAAATCTAAATTCAATCATTTCTTTATAGTTCTGTTGACATGTAGGACTGCTGAACACATTGAACTTTTTTAATACATAAGGGTAAAGGGTGGGGATACATGAGGGTGATGGGAGGATACATAAGGGTGAAGGGGGAATACATGATCAGCAAGGGGGAAGGGGGGGGGGCAGGTAATATATCATATGAGAAATAAGGGAGTGTACACCAAAAGTGAATCTTAAGTGTAAATTTCCCTAGTTTTCTTATTACATTACAATATCATAATAATTAATATGTAAATTATCCAAATCAACTTTTCTATTTTATATAAATATATCTGTTGCGTTTTTGTTTATGAACAGTGTGATTGCTTATAGAAAAAAGATTAATAGGTTTTTTTAAAATTTTTCTATTTTCTTTGTTTTTCTTTCCTACCTTAATTATTTCCCGTTCCCCCCCCCCTTTCTCCCTCCCTTCCTCCCCCCTTCCTACCCTTACCCTTTCTATTCCTAATTCCCCCATAGATACATGCATTGACGAATATTAGTGTAAAGCAACAATCTTGTCTTAGCATTTTATTTATTAAACACAATCTTTCATGCTTTATGCAATAATCAGTATTAATATATAGAAAATATGAAATATATATAGCAAATAATGAATATATAGAATATATAGAGTATTTTTATTACTTCTAGATATAGTTACATGATAAATAACGAGTTTATTAAAGGAGAGGATCCGACGCTACTGATTTGCGGATTTTATAATCTTCTTTCGGAGATTTCATCCTCTATGACATATAATATATATTATTGAAGTTTAGGAAGAACCCAAGAAGAACCCTTTTCTTATTGATGAGCCGAGCTAGAGGACTGAGAGGTGCTTATACGGCAAAGTAAGGGTGTCACTCTCCGCTGAAACTCACTATTTATTCGGTCAGAGTACTGCAGATCACTGCAGTGCGCACTGAAAGCTCAGTGTAGGGTGTATGTGAGGGTTGGGGTTTGGAGACGGTTATATGTACCCTAAATATAAGTATATTGTAATGTTAAACTAAACATCTAACCAATATTTTTATTCTTGTCAGAAAATGATTTTTGTCTCTTCCTGTTTTTTTAGAATTGGAACAAAATTAGGCATGGTATTTTCTTTAATGCCGCCAGTATTAACTTACATATTATTAAATCAATTTTATTTAATGTTTTCAGAATTTTCGTGGAGTGTCTCAGAATACGGAATAGCCCTGCATGATGATTAGTAAAGTGATTTTTAAAGATTGCATGAAAAGAAAAAAGTGAGAAAATCTGAGATACAAGTTGACCAAACCGTGGAGTTAATGAGTTTTCATTCAACTTTATGTTCACGGATATCTGAACACGGAGAACCTCCAGGGTTGAAAAGACGGGAGAGAGAGATTTCCATCCGGAATTAGAAATCTCTGCAGTACAGTCACAAACCCTAGAGAAAAAGGGAGAATGTTGCAGGATTAGTTTATCAAGTTTATCTCATTCAGTTCTAACTTCTGCATGGATTTACTGCAGTAAATAATCCTTCAAGCAGACAGACAAATAATATTGATGAAAAGGATAGTTTCCTAGATATTCCAAGAAGAGAAACTTTGTGAATTTTCTTTCTAATTTCCGTCCTATCATGAGATTGAATGAAGAAGGACAGGTTCTCCTGGGGGATCCAGGGGTAGACGGGTGCAGGGACAGGTTAAAGGAGTTTGAGTTTAACGATGAGATCGGAGTCCCTGGAGCACTAAAACCGGAGCCAAGAAGTTCGGATTCTAAACTCAAGAGCAAGGATCTTAAATCCTCCAGCATAGGATTGATTAAAGAACATTTATCAGTTTCCAAACATAATCCTGAGAAATCCCATCAGAAGCCTGTACATGGATCCTTGCAGGCTCAAGGAACTCAACCAAAGGCTTTTGTATCTTCAGCCCTACCTAGTAATGTATACGGAGCAACCCGTACTGTCCAAGCCAATCCCCCACCTGGATCTCAATATACTGATAAATCCTCACATAGAAACTGGTCTCAACCTACACCTAAACAAAATACACAGAATAGAGACAATTGTTACTCCGCTCATGAGAAACCTCGTCTTGAGAATGCGTACCTTGCTAGCTCAGGGTCTCATCCAACCCAACCTAGAGTCAGCTATTCAAGTGTACCAGGAGACCAACGAAACCTTACGTATAAAGTCGGATCCTCTGGATTTTCACATCTTGATAAAATACCAGGGTTGAGTCAGGTTCATATTAAAGAGGAAAAGGTATTAGGTTCAGGTTTACTCCGAGGAGAAACACAAGTCAATTCCTATGTTAGGGATGAATCTAGCTCCGGTCAATCTAAGCAGGGTCCGACGGAAGACCGTGGGATTAAAAGAGAACATTCTCCGTCTCGTTCCAACCCTGAATATCAGGCCAAGAATGAAGGAGGTGTGACGGAGACTAATCCTGCTCCGACCTTCTCCTTCTCTACAGGTCTACGGAAAACCAACAGAGAGGTAATTTTATTTTACAGTATGTACTTGATGATACACACTTGGTTTCAGTGTGTACTTGATGATACACCCTTGGTTTCAGTGTGTACTTGATGATACACACTTGGTTTCAGTGTGTACTTGATGATACACCCTTGGTTTCAGTGCACTTGATGATACACCCTTGGTTTTAGTGCACTTTATGATACACCCTTGGTTTCAGTGCACTTTATGATACACCCCTGGTTTCAGTGTGTACTTGATGATAATCCCTTGGTTTCAGTGCGTACTTGATGATACACACTTGGTTTAGTGTGTACTTGATGATACATCCTTGGTTTCAGTGCACTTTATGATACACCCTTGGTTTCAGTGTGTACTTGATGATACACACTTGGTTTAGTGTGTACTTGATGATACATCCTTGGTTTCAGTGCACTTTATGATACACCCTTGGTTTCAGTGTGAACTTGATGATACACCATGGTTTAGTGTGTACTTGATGATACACCCTTGGTTTCAGTGCACTTTATGATACACCCTTGGTTTCAGTGTGTACTTGATGATACACCATGGTTTAGTGTGTACTTGACGATACACTCGTGGTTTTAGTGTGTACTTTGATGCATACAAAAATACAGGGGGTCAAAAATACATATCTGGTCTTGTTGTCTCAGAGCGTATACTGGTTTCAGGTGTCTTAAGAAAATACACCCTTGGTGTCAAGGCGTCTCAACTGTCCCAAAATTCAGAGTGTCTCAATAATTTACAATTCTGGGGTGTATCAGAATATACTAGGGTGTACCAAAAAATACATAACCGGTTTTGGTGTCCCAGAAATTTAATACATACATGTTTCCATGATTTACAAAATCTGTTTATCTGAGTTTATCGATATTTCTGAACATATATTTTTCTAAATCCCAACCTAATTTCTTTTTACAATGGCGAACGAACAGGGTTCTATATTCTGAATTCTGAACTGGATAAGACAAGAAAATGAATTTATTGTTACACTGCAAACCTCTAGTCGAATACGGAATATAGAATTTTCATCACAAAATGGTTGTCAGTCAGATTCTTATTTATGCAAATAAAATCAACTTAACAATCCTCACGCTACTTTCATTTCGTATCCTGGATAAGTAGAGTACAATTCAAAGAATTTAACAGTATTTTGATTTTAAAGGAAATTAGTTTTTGCCACAAACCCTAGTTTTAAAATCCCGATGTCGTTTCAATCCGGGCCGATGCCGAAGCCCTTTGATATTCTAAACTATGAATTTTGTTAGATCAAATAATCTAAGTTTGAAATATCAAAGGTTTATATATATTTAGGTTGCAAAGATATACGGATAAGAAAACTTAAGTTTGTGGCAAAAACTAAGTTCCTATAAATTGCGACTGTAATCTCTGTAATTATAAAATTAATATTATAATTTTTTTTCATTTAATGAATATGATAAAATAAAATATAATGTGGTCTAGGTGGACGGATTACCTGGCGAGGGATCAGAGAAGGAGGCAAGCACAATGACGGAGCCAGTATTTAGTGTATTCGGAGGAGCAGGAGGAATCGGAGGAGCAGGAGGGATCGGAGGGATGGGTAGGATTAATCTCGACGGATTAATACTCAGTGAAACAGATGGAGGTTAGATTTTAGTTTATTCGAAAATATTTTTCTCGAAAGAAAGAAAGAAAGAAAGAAAGAAAGAAAGAAAGAAAGAAAGAAAGAAAGAAAGAAAGAAAGAAAGAAAGAAAGAAAGAAAGAAAGAAAGAAAGAAAGAAAGAAAGAAAGAAAGAAAGAAAGAAAGAAAGAAAGAAAGAAAGAAAGAAAGAAAGAAAGAAAGAAAGAAAGAAAGAAAGAAAGAAAGAAAGAAAGAAAGAAAGAAAGAAAGAAAGAAAGAAAGAAAGAAAGAAAGAAAGAAAGAAAGAAAGAAAGAAAGAAAGAAAGAAAGAAAGAAAGAAAGAAAGAAAGAAAGAAAGANCAAACCAAATATTTTTTCAATATTTCTTAAGATATTTCAAAAATTAATAAAATCAGAATTTCAGAATCGATTTAGAAATTCTTTGCGGATATAAAAATCTTCATAGTGGTTCAAGTTTTTTTACTCGAGGATTTCATCCGTTTTTCAAGATTCATCTGAAAGTTATCTGAAACTGCCTTGGCCTGAGCTGCTAAGCTGGCGTGACTCTTAGATTTAGCAGATATTTTGTGGATGAGATTTCTCAAATAAAATAATACCGAGCAACTTTTCACAGTGAGACCTATAAAACTGTGAAATAGAAAGACGACTGTTAGACTCAAATTATGATTTTGAATATTCCAATTTTACAATGTACACACTTGCATTTTATTAAGTAAAAATATTTAAGCTTCAGGTTAAAACTATTTGTTTTATAACATCAAATACATATTAAGTTGCTGAAATGTCGTCTTCCTAATACACATTTTAATGGATTATTCTGTATCGTAATAGATATTGCAATACACAACTACAAAGCAGTGATGTTTTTCCCTCATTAGTTTTTTTAAATACACACTACAAAATCATACATACTTTAAAATTGAATATTCTGAAAGTTTCATTAAATTAAACGAATGTATTGCAATATAGCTTCGTAACTTATAAACTTCTCTGATATTATGGAGGCTTTCGACACCCCCCCCCCCATAAAACTGTAGAATCTTATAATTTTTATCTTAGAAAGTAATCTAAAGACAACTGTGTTTTTATTTGCAGCTTCTGATGCACTTTCCTCGCAAAAATGCATATTTCACCGTGCAATGCAAACTTCGCAAAAAGTTTTATAATATTTAGTTAATGGTTCATCCTTGCTCAAGGACGTAAAAACCTTGGTATGGTAATAAACTCAATGAAACAAAAAAAAATAACATTAATTCCCTCCCCCCAAATCCCGTATATAGATTTTTAGCAATACAAACTAACTAAAACATACTAAAATCCATATTTCTATTTAGAACCAAGTTTAAGATACAATATCTCTTATCGCCATATTCCAAAGTAGGGGATTGAGAGCAGTGAGTTTCTTTGAAAAATTTGAAATACTCATTTATATTATTTAATACAAAATTGTTAAGTTGATAGAGAATAAAGGGAAAACATATTTTAGATAGAACATTATCGAAACTTTTTTTACATATTTTCAACCCCAAAAAAAATTTATCTCTTTACTTTTCTTTAAATGTTTTAGATAATGTTTTTATATTCATATTCCAAAGATTAACAAGTTTGATTTTGTGACAGAAACTCAGATATATATTATTTTAAGAAGACGTACTAACATTTAAACTACCCCCCCCCCCCCCTCAGTCTTCATCTATTATTTACAATTATCAACAAGCACCAGCTGTTACTGATTTCATGATTAGATAAAATGAATAAATGTTACAAAACTGTCGAGAATCTTCTGTTTTCCAGCTTACAATTTAGAAGGAATTGGTTTATGAAAAATGTTTTCACGTTTGGATAAATTCTCAGCTCGCTAAGTTTTTGAACCGCTTTATTAAAAAAACTAAAAAATATGATTGGCTGATCTACTAATAACATAATAGAATGTAGTAAATGCCGTACTCTTAAAACTTCGTCCAGAACTGTATCAATCCAGGCACGAAATCAGCTCATATGTTTCAACGAGAACCAGCTATCAATGTCAGCACGAAGACAAACTCTTAATCGATCAATGCCAAACCAATGGGCACGATCTCACCTCCTATGTTTCAAATAGGACTAGCTATCAATGCCAAAATGTTAAGCTAATCACAATGTACAACGTAATTTATCTCATAGATGTGTTCAAACTGTATTTATTACAAGAATACTATTCTCTGATTGGAAGATATAGATAATAAAACAACTGTTCTCAGTTTGGAGGATACCAATAAAAAACAGAATACTTTTCTCTGATTGTAGGATATTAATAACATAACAGCTAATCTCAGATCGGTGGATATTAATAACGAAACAGAACACTATTCTCTGATTGGAGAATATTAAATAACAAACAGAAAAAATACTATTTTCTGATTGGAGAATATTAATATAAAACAGAATACTATTCTCTGATTGGAGGATATTAATAACAAAACAGAAAACTACTCTCTGATTGGAGGATATTAATAACATAACAGAAAACTACTCTCTGGTTGGAGGATATTAATAACAAAACAGAAAACTACTCTCTGATTGGAGGAATTGGAGGACACGAGGTATGTGCAATAACTTTTGCGAAATTTTTTTAAAGGTATTTTTAGAGGTTTCAGCCCTGTAATTTTTTTTTTCAAAGTTCACCGTATCCATCCAGGTTGTCTTCTCCGACCGGACTTTATTCATCAAATTTTTTATTTCTCTGTAATAAGAATTTTCCCGGAGATTGTTTAGCTTCGTTGTCACACCACAGGAACAATTTTAATACAAACCATGGAAAGAGGACACTTGGGCTGCTCGATAAACAAAAGCTCGGGCCTAAAACTTTCCTAATACAAAGAAGACACCTTTTACATGATCCAAAATGCATTATAGGACAATAATATGGACAAGGCAACAGTATACATGTGGACTAAAAGGGAAAAAGTGTAATGAAGAGTATTGGCAGAAAGAGGAAATGCCTGAGCAAGAAAAATCCACAAAAACCCGACAAACAGTTGACACAATTGAAAGTTTCTCATATCAAATTCGCGAGGCTTCTTAGTTATGAAGTTTGATAAGTTTGGCATCTGAAATGGTGCTGCATACAAAGTTGTAAAGCAAGATTAGAAAAATGGCAGAGATTTGGACAACATTTGCTCCAAATAGGTCTTGGGAAAAGATATTAATTGGTTTGCTAAAACGTAGATTACAACTATAAAAACCCTCAAGGACCCTTTCTACAATAAAGGCTTACCCTTTGACTCTTTCAATTTATCCAACCTCTGTAACACGCATAAGTTGATAAAGTTTTTGTCTATAGATAAAATATTCAGGCTGTGACAAGTAATGTTTACGGGCTCCGGAAGAAAGCTAATCGACATTAGCTGGTCAACAAATTATACCAATATAAATAAAGTGAACTTTAAAAAAAAGTAAAAGGTTTGAGATGTCTAGAAGTAACTTTTAAAAAAAATTTCGCAAAATTTATTAAACATCCCTCGTATTAAGAACAAAGCAATACTTTTCTCTGATTGAAGGATATTAATAACAAAACAGAATACTATTCTCAGATTGGAGGATATTAATAACAAAATAGAATACTATTCTCAGATTGGAGGATATTAATAATAAAACAGAATACTATTCTCAGATTGGAGGATATTAATAACAAAACAGAATATTATTCTCAGATTGGAGGAGGCCAATAACATAACAGAATACTATTCTCAGATTGGAGAATATTAATAACAAAACAGAATACTATTCTCAGATTGGAGGAAAAGACGACAGAAAAAGACAAAAAAGAGAAAATATCCCGAAACAGAGAAAGGAACTCACAGAGAAAACTAGAATATCATAAAGAAAAGTTAAATCAGTTATTTTTAATTTGCATTAGAAAAATGATTAAATCTGAGAAAAAATGAAAACTACATATTGCCTGAAAAATAGTTAAGTTTTGAAAATGTTCTCAGTAATCCGGAGATCTATGATCTCTTCAATTTTATTTAAGGCCTGCCAAGTTTAAAGTACAGTGATTCCCAAAAAACGTTGTCAAATTAAATTGCCGATTTCAACAACACATAAAAGAGCATTTTCCATTCTCAGTATTTATTACATCCAACAATTAGCAAACATTTTTAAAGCATTTTGCCACTCTTCCGTTCATTCTGAGACCAACTGTTAATTATGAAAACGAAACCGGGTTTTGTATAGCTTTGCTTACAGGTTTAGAACAGTCTTTAATTACATTTCTATTTACCAAAAATATTGTATTTTCGTTTATCTCAAACTAGAACACTAAATTTAATTTTTGGTTACTGATATTAAAGAAACTGCTCAGTTTCCTACAATGCAACTATTTAAAAACAAATTAGGAAAATTCAACTTTTTATAATATAAAGTTAGAAATAAAGTTGGTCTCCCAAACCTAGGTTTGCAAAAGTTTGCTGTACTTAAATACATTCTATTGAGGATTCTTTAAACAGTTGAGTTTATATGTAAATCAATTTATTATTTATCACGAAAACCTATTTTTCCTGAGATGTAAAAAAATCAGATAAGATTTGTAAAACTGGATTTAGTAAAATAAAAATTTATTTTCCATCAAGAATAAAGTTTATTAAATTATACAAGGAGTCTAATTGCAAGCTAATATTCCTCGTGTTTCCGGTTTTGTTCTTAACAACTTCCGGTACGGGGGAAATATGGGAGATTTAAATCTGTCTTCATGTGTTCAAGGCATTTAATTAGATTTTGGGGGGTTCAGGAGATTCGTTTTTTTTAGGTTTCAAGATTCTTTAATATGGGTTTTGGGGGTTTCAAGAGATTATTTTGGAGTTTAAGGAGTAATACATGGGGTTTTGGGTTTCCAGGAGTTTCATATGAGAGTTTTTGGTGGTTTTTAGGAGTCTAACATAGGGTTTTTTGGTCATTTAGAGCTCCAAGATAAAGTTTTGGGATTTTAGGAGATCAGAATTATGGGTTTTAAGGGTTTTAGGAATCTTGTTTTTTGTTGATCGT